GTATATATGTATATATGTATATATGTATATATATATATATGTATATATATATATATATATATATATATGTGTGTGTGTATGTATGTATATATGCAGCGAGAGTCGCAGGCATAGTGGTTGCAAGACCCGGTCGCGGGCATAGTGGTTGCAGTCGAGAGTCGCAGGCATAGTGGTCGCAGTCGAGAGTCGCAGGCATAGTGGTCGCAAGATCTGGTTGCAGTCATAGTAGTCTCAGTCTTAACAATTCTCGTAGTATTTATGCGATTCCGGGTTAAAAATACCCTTGTTTCAATACTTCATCCAGACATCCACTCTGGGTCAATAGTATGAGAGTAACTTCCTTGTTGAAGTGTTAAAAAAGCACAAATAAAAACGAAGTAATTTCCAGAATATCCAGATTAGTTCAATTCTTAAAAACGGATATTTTTAAATCATCCCGATTGGACTATTGGTTCAAAAGTTGTGAATGATTCCAGTTTGTATACCAGAACTGGGTCAAACTGAGCGGCGCCACGTAAGGGCGTAGGGCCGTAGGCCTGTAGTCCGTAAGTCGTAGTCGTAGGGCCGAAGGCATTTAAAAAAAATTACATGAATACAAGTTCTATGACTATCGTCTATCACTCTAACTGAGTCTATCAGACCAAACTCAGTTCATAGCAGATTTCATTCGAGACTTTTGAGTTTGGAGTCTGGAGTCTCTGGACTCTGGACTCTGGACTCGTCAGTTATCAGTACCTCACATTCTTTCTCCGGCCTATGAATATTTTTGTTTGTTTAAAAATTAAAAAAACGACCGAAGGACAATGTATCGAAATTCTTCAGGGATTTCAATTTTCAGTAGAATTAAAAATTGAACACTGTGAGTGTGGGACTGTGTGGCGTGAGCACCAAAAAAATTCCTTGTTGCGGGGAGTTTTGGTTTTAAAAAAATATGTTCAAAAAAGTGATTTTTGTACAATATTTTGTTTGTTTTGAATTCAAGAGAAGATATTAAAAAAAAATAGTGACTGTTTAAGATTCTGTTTTATTTAATAATAATAAAAAGTATGTTCGTGTTCTTTTCTTTTCTTTATAAGCAAACAATAAATAAATATGTACATACTGCTAGTTGATACAATAGGAGCAGATAACATCAAATATTGGACGTTTACTATAGTGTTTGACCCAGAGCCTCAGAGGTACTTTAAAAAAATATTTCATTGAAAGCTAGATGACTCATATTATTCTTCTTGACGAGTAATAAACGTATGATTAAACTCATCCCGATCGGACCATTGGTTCAAAAGTTGTGAAATATTCCAACTTGTACCAGAACTGGGTCAAATTAGTCGCACGCAGGCATTATATAAGTCCATCCATACCCAACAGACCTTTCTGGCATTACAGCATACTACTTTAATGGTCTATGGTGGGTTATATGTGTGCGTATAGCGAGTTTGGATGTGTATTTCGGCTACCTCATATTCTAACCAGTACCTTTTATACCAGTGAGAATGTGAGCTACCCGATATACACGTCTAGACTCGCTATAAGCGTATAAATAACCCCCCATAGACCATTAAAGTAGTATACTATAATGCCCGATAGGTCTGTTGGGTCTGGATGGACTTATATAATGCCTACGTGCGCCTAGATTGACCCAGTTCTGGTACAAACTAGAATCTTTCATAACTTTTGAACCAATAGTCCGATCGGGATGAGATTAAGAACACGTTTATTACTCGTCAAGACGAAGAATTTGAGTCACCTA